AATATTTGATGGTGTCAAGTGTGGCAGTGGTAGTGAGGTTGGCCCAGGATCGGACATTGTTTAGTTCTGCTGTGCATGGGGTCGCTATGAGTCGGTTCCCACTCGATGGCACCTGACAACAGCAAGAATTTTGCAACTCTTTTCTCCCTGGTTTTCAATAAATTTATACTTTTCTCAAGCAGGTAAAACAATAAGCCTGCTTCTCCATCTTTCTGGGGACCATGATCAGCAAAAGCTTTATAGAAGAGGTGATATTTGAGTTAGTATTGAAGACTAAGATAAAGTTCCCCAGATATGCAAGATGAGAAAAATCTTTTCAGCAAGAATACAGGATAGATTAAGTCTGAGGCTGCCTGGTATTTCCACAAACTCATACCCAGGAGTGAGTTAATCCTTGTACTCTGCCTGGAGTTAGCAGAGTACAGCTCACAAGGGATGTCCAGGCTATTGTCCACCTATTATTTGCTAGAACAAAGCAGTGCTCATTTGCTTACATATTGTCTATGGCTGCATTCTAGCTACGTTGGCAGAGTTGAATAATTTGACAGAGATGGTATAGCTGCAAAGTTTAAGAAATTTTCACAGAAAATGTTTGTTAACCTCTGCTTTAGGAACTTCCTTGAGAATAAGTAGCATTGTTCTATCATCTGCCTATCATTGACCAAGACTGTGATGGGCATGCTAGATGATGTTGGTAACATCTACTGAATTCTTACTATAGTCTACAACAGTTATGCTCGTATGGTTTCTTTCATGATCTCATTTAGTCCTCAATACCCAATGTGCTAGGGCCTATTTTCCTCTTTAATTTAAACCTGAGAACATTGGGGTTTAGAGAGATTAAGGAACCTTTTGGGGTCACACTTTTACAACTCTTTAACCTCATCAGTATGTCTTAGGAGTTGTCTTAGTCATCTACTGCTGCTATAACAAATACCATAAGAAAATGGTTTTAACAAGCAGAAATTTATCTTCTCACCATTTAGGAGGCTAGTCAGAGTGCTGGCTCTTGGGGAAGGCTTCCTTTCTGTTGGATCTGGAGAAAGGTCCTTGTGTCCATACCTGCATTCTTTGGAGATCTCCATACATCTTAGCATCAGTCTTCCCCTGGTTCCAGGGGCTTCACATTGCAGAGACCCTCTGTCCAAAGGATACACTCCACTTCCAGTTATCCTCTTATCTCTGCCCACATCCCTCTCTTTTTTATCTATTGTAAGTAAAAGATGTTGCAGGCCACACCACAGGAAAACTCCTCTCTCATCAGAGGAGAGGTCTGATGGGATTAAGGGTGTTGCAGCCCACTCAAGTCCTCTTATTGACTTATTACATCAGATCACATCATGAGGGATCATCACATAACGGCTACCCTGTTTCATTTACATAACTGCCAAACCTTTGAGAATCATGACCCAGCCAAACTTACATAAGTGTTTGTGGGTGGGAGTTGTGGGTGACACAATCCAATCTGTGACAGGAGTATTTTGAATTATATAGTGAATGTGTATATATACATGACTATCTCTCTGTGTGTGTATAGCAGTGTGCGTGCTAGACAAAAGCTAGGTGGAGGGAAAGCAGCACAGAAGCTAAAAGCAATGCATGGAAACTGTAAGATAGTAGAGGCCAAGAGTAAGCACAGCAGTGGATAAGCAGCAGTAGAAGCAGCAAAGATGGTAGAATAAAAGGAAAGCAGGAGAGTGATGTCCGTGGCTGCAAAGAGAAGCAGAATCCTTGTGTGGATTTGGGAAG